TCAAATATGAATTAATTATGTATTTGGTTGACCATTAAGTTTGTCTGTTTTGGTGTCCTCATCGGTTTATGGGTGACAGCAGCGGGTGGTAAGGGAAAGGGAGATGTGTTTTGTCATAGAATTCCAGGAAAGGGTTGTAAAAACTTATTTGTTATACGCATTCCTATACTAATGCGTGTATGATGTGTGTCTATGGGAAATGTATGACGCCTCCTAAGCCCCCTAATATTTGAGTGCAAAACTTTATATTCAGCCCAGAGGTAGCTTAGGGTGTATAGAATATCCTGTATAAATCTTATTATCCTAAATAATCAGACTCGAGGGTAAAACATTGATTTAATGTATTGTAATGTTAAGTGTATGTGAAAAGGGGTATACTTTGATACCTTGAAACCTGACTTCGGGTGCCAAGGTGACCCAAAGTTTATATTTAGTCAGTAAATAGAAGTAATGTTTAAAAATGATTTCCCGAAGTTTGGGAGTCCTAAATAATTAGCCCCGACCTGGAGTTTTGGATTTGTGTCACAATTTGACAGCAATTCATCTGGATTATACAGGATTGTCAAAGTATTGGAAATTTTATTTTCCATAAATTTTATAAAAACAATTATTCATAATGAAGCTAGAACAAATTGCAAAAAGGAAATTATTGCTAGGAGCACAATAGATACTATTAGATAGTGTTTTGGCCTAGTTCATTCTAAATTATTATTATTTTAGTAAAAATTTCTTATGTTAAAAGCGATTAAAATGTTTATGTTTTTGAATGAACTTTCACTTAATTATGTAGCATTTGAGTAAACTACATTTTATATTCTTTGCAAATTATACTATTTTTATAATCAAACTTTCAAATGATACCTCTATATGCCATTCCCTTAAGAAAAACATACTATTCTTTTTTACATAGGTTTATAATGGCACTGATTAACATTACTTGCATTATTGCAGTTTGTTATTTCGAAACAGGATGTTATAATGACTATCATTTACAAAATTAACAAGGACTTGCTGTGTAGAATGATTTTAAAAATATTTTTTTAAACTGAATATAAGCTTAAATACTGTGTATAATCAGTTTTTAAAAATACTTTTAAACAGTATACTAGTATAAACTCAAATAGTTTTAAATTTTTAGACATTTCTAAAAACTTTTAAAAATAATATTGTAAAAGCTAATTTATCACTTTATTAAATATGTATTCATTTATATATTTTGTAATGTTGTTTATTAGTTGTATTATCACATATGCATACATGTAAAAATATTTAATTAAACAGCAAGCTTATTTTTATTAATTACTATATACAATATATATTTATTAGATATATGCGACGAAACCATACGTATTGGACTAATCAAGGAATTCCCGGTCCCAAACCCGTCCCATTTTTTGGAAATTTCTTGGATGATTATTTTACCAAGCATCATTTATTATTAGTCAAATTAAACAAGAATTATGGAAACATTTATGGGTATGATTACAATATACATGTTTTGAGATTTATATGTGTATCATTTCCCTATACTTATTACATTACTACTGTATTCATAAATGTTTATAGTCAAAAATTATGTATCAACCTGATTTATATTTACTCAATTTGCAATTATTCGGTTAACAATTAAATTTTAGCACATATAATGGCAAAATGCCCGTGCTACATGTAGCGGACCCGGAATTGATCAAGGCCATTATGGTGAAAGATTTCCATTTGTTTGTGAATCGCCATAAAGTCATGAAAGCCGGCAATTCTGTGACGAAACACAATTTGAATCATTTGACGGGCGAGGAGTGGAAAAGGGTTCGCGCGATAGTGTCGCCGACATTCAGTTCCGGCAAAATGAGGCAATTGTGCGCTCGGGTCCGGGAGTGTGCGACACGTTTCACAAAACATTTACAAGTAATGTACCCTCAATTGCAGTTTACTATTGATTAGGGATGATTCACAAAGTACGTACGCACGCCTAGGGGGGAGGGGGGTCATGCCAAAAACGTATGAAAGCGTATGTTATATTAGAGAGGGGGTTATGTTATAGTGTATGTACGCAAAAGGGGGTTTTATCTTAAATATTTGTTATTATTGATAAGAAATTATTCAAAGGATTAGTGTTTTCTAGTTCAGATATCTATATTATCAATGATTTTAATGAATGGTATAATAAATAATTGATTTGAAATATTGTTTCATTATTGGGGGTGGGGTGGTGGAAACAAAGCGTATGTACGCTTGAGGGGAGGGGTCTTGATATGCGTCCGATGTGCAACTAGGGGGAGCGGGGTCAATTTTTGGCCTAATTTTTGCGTGCGTACTTCATGAATGACCAGAAGTTAGTGAACATTCATTAAATTACAAAAATATTTTTCAATATATAATATAAAGCGAATATCAGACATAGATTTGAAAGTGAAATATACATTTATCAAATAGACCTTGTAGTGTTTAAGGGTTTTGAGTTTCAGGCTTTTGGGGGTTGAGCTGATTTTATATTTAAACTATTCTACAAATGAACTAACTTTCAAATTTTGTCTAAAGTATGGGTAATAATCACGAACTCACAGGTATTTTCAATAATATAAACTAATACTTATGCCCTTGGTCACTCGATTGGCTCTGATAGGTGTACAGTAACTCTGGCAACTCTATAGACTTATAATATGTTTGTGGCAAATACGCGGTCGACGTGATCGCCACGAGTGCGTTCGCTGTCCGTATCGACGCCTACGACTCGGCCGGCAATGCGTTTGTGGCGAATGCCGTCAATAAGTTTCGCTTTGGTGTCGTCGACGAGATGGCGTCGTTCGCACTGCCGGTATCTGTGCGCCGATGGCTCCGCCTGTCGGCCGCCCCTAACGACTCGTTTTTCGTCGACTCTATTCGACGCATACTATCGATGAGGCGTCAAAATCCCAATGACAAGCACAACGACTTCATCCAATTACTTATGGATACGGAAGCCATCAATACCGGAGAGGGTATGGACGAGGATAGGGGTCTCAATACGAATACACATCACGATAATGAGGGTAAGTATTAAAGTATTAAATTACTATAAGGTTAGGAATTTGGGAATAGTTGGAAAGAGGTCAGTCTATTTATTAAACTTATATTTTTGAAAAATGAATCACGAGTTAAACATGAGCTTGTTCACAAAACATGAGCTTGTTCACAATTTGAATTTTTATTATACATATGAAGGCGAAGAAGAGTCAGAAATTCGGAAAAAGGTTTTCGATATAAAACTCGCGAATAAACGACTGACTGAAGACGAGATCGTGGTGGCGTCAAAATCCCAATGAAAAGCACAACGACTTCATCCAATTGCTTATGGATACGGAGGCCATAAATACCGGAGAGGGTATGGACGAGGATAGGGGTCTCAATACGAATACACATCACGATAATGAAGGTAAATATTAAAGTAACAAAGGTTAGGAATTTGGTAATAATCGGAAAGAGGTCAGTCTATTTATTAAACGCATAACTTTGAAAAGTGAATGGCGAGTTAAACATGAGCTTGTTCACAATTTGAATTTTTATTATACATATGAAGGCGAAGAAGAGTCAGAAATTCGGAAAAAGGTTTTCGATATAAAACTCGCGAATAAACGACTGACTGAAGACGAGATCGTGGCCCAGGCCTTCGTATTTCTATTGGCCGGATATTTATCGACTACCGGCGCTCTGGCCAATTGTATTTACGAATTGGCCGTCAATCCCGACGTTCAGCAACGGCTATACGACGAGATTAACGGTGCCGTCGATGCGGATACCGGGGACATAGAGTACGACCGATTGGCACGACTACCCTATTTGGATGCCGTAATGGCTGAGACACTGCGCCACCATTCATTAGCCCTTCCACTGTCCAGATACCCGACCCGGGATTATAAGCTAGGCACAACTGGTAGTACATTTTTAACCAATAGGAAAATGGATCATGTTTATACTGCATATACAGTACAGTATATATTCTATAATTGATTGTCTATATTAGGTATTACCATAAAGGCGGGACAACAGGTGGAAATACCTATCTATGCCATACATCACTCGGAACAATATTATCCGGATCCTTTCAAGTTTAAACCTGATAGATTCATGCCGGAAAATAAGCACCTGATTAAGCCCTATACTTACCTGCCGTTTGGTGTCGGTCCTCGAAATTGTGTTGCCCTACGATTCGCGTTACTTGAATTGAAACTGACCCTGGTACATACGTTGCTAGAGTATCGTTTGGTTCGGTGCCCGGAAACAGACGTTCCCCTTCGGTATAAGCGATTCATACACCAAACCGTCGCCGAAAGACTTTGCATCAGAATTGAGCCGAGATTTGAAACAAATATTTAAANCTCATTTTGCCGGAACTGAATGTCGGCGACACTATCGCGCGAACCCTTTTCCACTCCTCGCCAATCAAATGATTCAAATTGTGTTTCGTCACAGAATTGCCGGCTTTCATGAGTTTATGGCGATTCACAAACAAATGGAAATCTTTCACCATAATGGCCTTGATCAATTCCGGGTCCGCTACATGTAGCACGGGCATTTTACCATTATACGTGCTATGATTTAAAGGTTTAAAAGTTCATTGTTTTATGAATTATATGAAAATCATATCAATATAAATTAGGTTGATTCATTTTTAATCATAAACATTTAATAATGACATTATAGGTATAGAAAAATGATTAATATTATCTCAAAACATGTAATTATACCCATAAATGGTTCCGTAATTGTTGTACCATTTTATTAATAATAAATGATGCTGGGTAAAATAATCATCCAAGAAATTACCAAAAAATGGTATAGGGGTGGGACCGGGAATGCCTTGATTGGTCCAATACAAATAGTTTTGTCGCATACATCTAATAATTATATGTAGTAATTACTAGTTATAAAATTATACTTGTTGTTTTATATTAAATAAATATATTTTACCTGTATGTATATGTGGCAACACATACAATAAGTAACATTACTAAATATATTAGTGAATACATACTTTATAAAATGATTAACTTTTACAGTTTTTAGAAATGACAAAAATTTAAAAGTTATTTAAGCTTATATTGAATTTTAAAAAATATTTTTAAAATTATTCTACACAGCACGTCCTTGTTAATTTTGTAAATGATAGTCATTATAACATCCTGTTTCGAAATAACAAACTGCAATAATGCAAGTAATGTTAATCAGTGCCATTATAAACCTATGTAAAAAAGAATAGTATGTTTTTCTTAAGGGAATAGCATATAGAGGTATAATTTTAAAATTTGATTATAAAATAGTATAATTTGGAAAGTATATAAAATGTAGTTTAATGAAATGCTATATAATTAAGTGAAAGTTTATTCAAAACTTACAAACATTTTAATCGCTTTTAACATAAGACAAAGATAATTAAAACATAAGTTAAACTTAACAGATAATTTAAACTTGTAAGAACACAAAAATGCGAAATACAATTTTCAGTGTGTTTAATTATCAGGTTATGTTATTGCAGTATGTATTAAGGTTAAGGTTGGCTGTAGTGAAATATTTCATTTTAACTGAAAATAAATTTCACTTTGGCGTCATTCACAAAGTACGTACGCAAAATTTTGGGGAAAAAATTGACCCCCTCCCCCTACAAGCCCATCGTACATAGGAGTTTACCATGGGGACATAAGCTTTGGCATGATTACAAGGTTTTTAGAAAGTTTTTAGAAATGACAAAAATTTAAAAGTTATTTGAGCTTATATTGAGTTTAAAAAACTATTTTTAAAATGATTCTACACAGCACGTCCTTGTTAATTTTGTAAATGATAGTCATTATAACAACATCCTGTTTCGAAATAACAAATCGAAATAATGCAAGTAATGTTAATCAGTGCCATTATAAACCTATGTAAAAAAGAATACTGTAAAATTCCTGAGTTATGTATGGCCTATTGCATTTGAAATCTGTACATAACTGAGAGCGTTCATAACAGAGAATGTGTTCAAAAAATGTTAAGAATATAGCCCAAAAATGGCAAAATGGCACTTTGTGTTTAATGGTTAAAATTAATGTATTTAAAATGATAACTCTATATCTCATCAAAATTAAATTGTCTTCCAATTAACCAGCAATATCAACTTTTTTATAACTTATTTATATAATCGATAACATAAAAAATTAAAAACAATTATATAAACTATTTCCATATTTGAGGTCAAAGGATAATACATGATAAGGGTATTTGAATCTTAAATTAATTTATTAAAACAAAATAACCAAGTATTCTAAAAACTAATTTAGTATCATAATCATAAGCAAGAAAAACTTGCCAAGAAAATAAAATAGTGTTGCCAAAATATCTCAGACAAATGCCAAAGCAGGCAATCAAGATTAGATATTTTCCAAATATAATTGTAAATTAATATCTAAAATAAAATCAATACAATATCTTATACAAAATACTTTAACATAAAAATATTTTGTAAAAATTAATATTTATTAGTTTTTAAAAGTTAAAAAATTTAAGTTTTTAATTTTACCACAATTCTATGTGATTCTATGTTAGATTCTCTTCCAATTCTTTGTATAGAACTTCAGATTTATAGAAGAAATATCTCATTAAATCTGGATTGCCTGCTTATGTAATTGTCTAAGATATATGGGCGACACTACTTTATTTTTATAGCAACTTTTCTTGGTATATGCATAAATTGTTTTTACAATTTAACATACAAAACCAAAATTTTAGGTATTTGTCAAAGTATCGAAATGTTATGTTTTTAATGTGTAAACCTCAGTTTATCTTCTAATAACTACCACATCATACATAACTCAGAGAAGGTTTTGGTATATAAGTCACTCATTTTGCATACATAACGGAAATATACATAACTGGGAAGTTCATAGTAGAGAATGTATTTAACATTATAGGTATAGGTAATCCGTCAAAAAATATTTTACAGTTCATAACTGAGAGCTATACATAACTGAGGATTTGAGAACTCAGGAATTTTACAGTAGTATGTTTGTCTTAAGGGAATGGCATATAGAGGTATAGTTTTAAAATTTGATTATAAAAATAGTATAATTTGGAAAGTATATAAAATGTAGTTTACTGAAATGCTACATAATTAAGTGAAAGTTCATTCAAAAACTTATAAACATTTTAATCGCTTTTAACATAAGAAATTTTTACTAAAATAATAATTTAGAATGAACTAGGCCAAAACACTATATAATAGTATCTATTGTCCTCCTAGCAATGATTTCCTTTTTGCAATTTGATCTAGCTTCATTATGAATAATTGTATTTATAAAATTTATTGAAAATAAAATTTCCAATACTTTGACTTTCTCGTGTATGATCCAGATGAATTGCTGTCAAATTGTGACACAAATTCATAACTCCAGTCCGGGACTAATTATTTAGGACTCACAAATTCCCAAACTTCGGGAAATCATTTTTAAACATTACTTCTATTTACTGAACCAAATATACACTTTGTGTCGCACCCGAAGTCAGGTTTCAAGGTATCAAAGTATACCCCTTTTCACATACACTTAACATTACAATACATTAAATTAATGTTTTACCCTCGAGTCTGATTATTTAGGATAATAAGATTTATACAGGATATTCTATACACCCTAAGCTACCTCTGGGCTAAATATAAAGTTTTGCACTCACATATTAGGGGGCTTAGGAGGCGTCATACATTTTCCCATAGAAACACATCAAACATGCATTAGTATAGGAATGCGTATAACAAATAAGTTTTGACAACCCTTTTGACCTTAAGATACTGTTTTGTGTAGAGGGAAAGGGAATGGTGGGCGACGACAGTGGGTATTTGGCTACTCCTGTGGTTTTGTCTGTTTGAATTACCAGTTGGTTTATGTATTAATTAAGTATAAACTATACAAATACAATTCATTTTATTATATTTTCATATAAACATTTATAGGATAAAATACGACAATTATTATGACATAACTTTCATCACATTTAACACATAACTTGTAAACCTTTGACACGCTTTATACCCATAATAACTGTAGAACACAAATAAGTTGTATTTCAAGTCAAACCCAATAAAAAAGTCAATAAAAAGGACTAAAAAGGATTTTTGGCAAAAATGTTTGTTTAATTGATTGTTATTACACCGACCACTTGTGTTTTTCCCCCTAAACTCTCCCTCCAACTGATCCACTCTTGCTTTCATGAGTAAATCTTGTGATGAGTTGTCTGAACCACTTTCTCTGACACTATTGGCCGCGACGCCGACGGTTCATCTCTTCCCAGGCCTGACCTCATGTGAGATCTATTGACCGTCTAAGACATGGTCGACACCCGCTGTGCACCCGCTCGTGACCCGTCAACTCTCAACTCTAACCACAATTCCGTCAAAATGAGTGACAGAATCCTAGACCCGTCTCAAAATAAATAAACAAACTCCACTTCCCATATTATGTACGCACACAATGAATGGTCCAAAATTGTGCAAAATATTGCAGTATTACAGCTCATTTAGCTATAATTACTGTTATATTCACATGACTTCACTACATTGACACTGCAGTGCATACAATGTTAGGCATTCCTAACGGTCGCCCAGTAGCGGTCGGCTATAATCCCATTGGAATGCTGTATACCTTCCACTCAAACGTAGGGCATAAATAACTGGTATCTGAGCGTAAGGCTCAGAGTTGGACACAGTGTCGGAGTCCAATAAAGCCATAAACCCTGTATTAGCCATAGAGTTGCTATACTTATGTAACTGTAATTACTTACAGTATTCTAATAAATGATTGAATGCTTTATATGTGAGTTATAACCCCCTTTCTACACCTCAAACCCCTTCAATCTTCGCAACCGTCGTGTTGTTGGCCGGAGTGGTGGCCACGCAAACGAGCGCTACGCGTAAGTACGCGCATAGGTATTACCCATACGCGTACAGGTATTGTACTCACAGGTAGCACACGTTTCACGCGCTTAACCACAAGTCGTGTTCAACGCGCGCACCCTGTTGCAATATTTACTTGTCATAGAATTTTATTTTGAAAATACCAGTCACTGAGGCATTTAAATGCAAAATCATGTTTTAAATCCTATTATATTATCACTATATAAATTAAATATACTTTTTGAAAAATTATTTACCTGATTACTCTTTATTAAAAGATTAAATCAGTAAATATTTAATTTATTAAACTTATATAATATCGTGTTCAATATAGGTATATAGGATCACCCAGCTTACCCCTCCCCGCGCCGTCATTAATGACGCTGATGAGTCAATTTGCAAATCTCATAGCTTTAACATGGGGTTTTTGGTCGTAAAAAGCAATAAGGACTTTATATAA